CGCCGCCATCTTGGGGAGGGCACGGGAGCCCGCGCTCGCCATCTTGTGGAGCCTCTGGCCTCAGGGGCAGCCGCGCTTTGCCGTCGCCCGTCCCCCGCGGTACCGGGCGGGCAGGCGGCCCCTCCGGGCCGAAGGGACGGGCGAAGGGAGGCCTCGTCCCCGCTCGGTGGTGGGGCGAGACGGGGCCCGGGCGGGGAGCCCGCCTCAAGGGCCTGCTGCAGGCAGGGCGGCCAGCCCCAGCCCATCGCACAGACCCGGGCCCTGGGCTTGGCCTACAGGCAGCGTTACGTTAAAATAAACTTTAGCAGAGTGAAAACAGAGAGCCTTGCCTCCAGATGTCCCTGGTGGGCTGCTGCTTGGGGAAAAAAACCAAACAAATTCTGCCTGATTGCTGTATAGGTTATAAACGTTTCAGAGCTTTTGCTTCCCATTGTGTCTTCCTTCTGGAGCAACGCTAGCTCTGGTTATAAGATGTGCAGTTGGGGAGTTATTATTCAGATATGCCTCTCCGTTCATTTCCACAGCCCTCAGGGAGCAAATTATGTCAGTAACTCAAATCCCTCTTTAACTTCAAGGACTCTGACAATAGCAGATGAATTTCTGTGTAGCAAGGCAGCCCAACACCTAGATTTAAGTATGTAATTATCTTCACTTATTTTATTGGGGGAGGCGAGGTAGCACGCTTGCCCATTTCGAGAAATTGTAGGTCCTGCGTGCCCCGACGGTCCGCGCCGGAGGAGGGACAGCAGCGTCCGCCGCAATGGAGCCCAGGGGCTCTATCCATCACATTAAACTGCAGCTCTCTCTTCTGTTAATTCAGTGCTTTGAGGACGCTGTGGGGATTTTTATAATTCTGTCCGGCTGAGGGCACAGGAACTTGTTTCTTTATAGCAGCCTTTAATGTTCTTGCTCATTGCAGAGCAATACCGCAAGTCTCAGTGGTTTGAGGGTATTACCTGCGCTCCTCCATCCAACTTAGCTGATGAAATGCTTGTCCATTCATCCTGGCCTTAAAAAACATGAGCAACAATTTAAATCGTAGAAATAAGTGGCAAGAATGTACCTATGGGAATATTCAAGTAAGACATTTTTTCTCAATAGCGTCAAGTCTCCCAGTTAAGCTGCGGAGGTTCGGAGACAGGCCTGATACGTTGTTCTGCAATTTCTCTCGGTGCTCAGGGGTCCTTCTGTGCTTTGTTCTCTGGCTGAGATAATTCATATTCTCCTCCAAAAGCTTCTCAACTTGCTCCACTCTCTCACAGTGTTGTTGCTTGCAGCCACGGAATACAGATGTATGTTTTTATTAGGCAGTGAAAACTTATACTGTCTCATAAACAGAAGAGGACTAGAACTGGCTGAAGAACAGCATTTCTGCAGCTGGAAACCTTGGTGGTCGGTTTAATTTCCCCCACGAACCGAAAATAGCGAGAAAAATTTAATTTTGAAGGTTTTAATAAATACTTTTCACAACACTATATGTCTCTCATTCCTTGTGCTGCTTCATAAGACTGACACGCGCGTTCGGGCAGCGAGGGCAGGGTGGCTCAGCCCCGAGCGGCCTCCTGCGCTTCGGTGACGCAGCCCCGCACGGGCTCGCAGCCTGTGGCAGCACGTGGCAGGGAGATGCACGACTGCAAGCGCCTGAGACCCTGTGGGGCAGCCTCAGACGCTTCCAAGGGCCAAAGCACCTTAGGTGGACGAAGCCAGGATGCCAGGGCTCCCTCACAAAGCTCTGGCACCGCGGTCACCACGTTCTCCCCTATAACCACGTTACTTTGTGGGAAGATGGTGGCAATTTCGCCACTGCAGATGTTGCTGCATTTTCTGAAATACGGCTGATCCTTCTCTGAGAAAACAGCTGTCACGTAGCGCAGAGAGCACCCCGGGAGAAGCAAGCAAGAATGCAGATCCCCTCCGAGATCAGTCCACATCTCAGCAGCAGGCGGTGTCTCCTGAGTGACTTGAAAGGCTACGCAGAGACTGCTAACAGCCGAGCAGCCCTTAAAGAGAATCAGAGCAGCACAAACTATTTACGTTAAGCCCACATTTCCACATAAAAGAGAACTTATTTTCAACAATATTAAAAAGTGGTTTTTATTAGAATCTGTTGTCTAAGCAGGCAGGCAAAAAAAAAAAAAAGATTTTGTGAGCTCCCTCATTTTTGTGAAAGCTGGCTGGCGGGTATAAAGCAGCAGCTGATGAGCTTATTGAGCAGGAAGGGAGGTTCAGGCTGTGAAACTCGATGTGTAAATTAGCTTCTTGCAGCAGTCGTCTCTGCGCCTGTCACTTGCACCAGTGTCCCTGTCTGTTATAATCCTCCCAGTTCATTTGGCTAAACATTAGTGACATGCTAGGAACAGCGGCCAAAAAAAATGTTGCCTGTAAACATGCTGGCTGTTAACTGTGGAATGAGAGGTCTATCAAACTAAAGAGTCATACAGCAGGAGCACTGGCTGGTCTTTTCCTGCTATGGGGAAGTTATTTTTAGTTAACGTGGCTGAATTATTTTACATTAGCAGCACTTGGGGAGAAAGCAGGAGGAGGATCCACTGCCTAATCCGTGGCACAGGGAGCCTCGCTCCCTGCCGAGCCCGCGCTGCGGCAGCCGCCCTGCCTCCTCGGCAGAGCAAGCGCCGGCACTATGCGTTGGTCTTCTGCTCAAGATTTGAAGACGCGACTTTTTAGCTGTCGTTCTCTCCTGTCAAACGATGGTGGGATGCCAACTCAGGTAATGACAGTGAATGCTGAGCGGCCCATTTTGGGCTCCCAGAGGCGCTGTCTCCTGGACAAATCTCTGACGAGCTGATATCCCAGCTAGAACTGAAACATTCAGGGGGGTCTGCAGCCCTCTGGTGCAGCTGTCCTGAACACCTTTGGCCACTCAAACTCAATAAGACCTTCACTTTCATTACTGAGGAGTATTCACACCCGCAGCTAGAGAGCCCTGACACAGAAATAACGGGGAATTTATGATGCATAATGAAACTTTATGCTTGCCACGTGAGAAATCTCTTTGAGTCTTATTTTGGATTTCTTTCTAGTATCTTATCAAGAACCAAACGTGGAAAGCCAGTATCTGAAGAAATTAATTAACACAACTGAGCGGAGTACACAGGCTTTGCAAGAAAGAGCAGCAGAGAGAAAAACTATGAAATTCATTAATGAAAAACCTTAAGGGACGTCTGAGAAAGAGAGAATACAGAGAACCCACCTCCCGCTGGATAGCTGTAACGCCGGTCTGACGGAGCGGCTGCGCGGCACCGGCCTCCCGGGGTCGCTACGCCTGGAGACGCCGGACCCCTGCCCAGGGCCCGCTGCTGGCATCGACAGCGGGGAAGATCTGACTGCACACACCCGATTTTCCTAACAATCTCTAGTGTTTTCAGGGTAAATCCTTTCCAAAGCACTCTGCAAACACTAACCCATGAATTCCCCCAATGATTTGCCCAAGGTTTCCTACCCTTCCAAAGACCTTAATTGCTTTGAGCAGCATTGATTTTTAAAGCGTTTCACAAAAGGCAAGTAAGTCTCTCCCAGCACAAAGCATCCCACTGAGACCAAATCATTACCAGTGCTCCAGGAATCTGATTCCATGGACTGGGGCAACCTAGCCTTGCCGTTACAGAGCAGAACGGCTTACAGAGATCTTTTCCTGACTTAATTTAATAGTTGCTTTAACTGCAGTCACGCGAACAAGCACGCTCTTC